ATTCTGTTTTCTGAGGCCTGAAGTGGCCCAACAGTATAGCAAAAGACTTTCACCTTTGTCTCTAGAAACTATTCCAAAGCTGCTTCCAGAACCAAGGACAAATACCTTAACAAGTGATTGTTTTAGTCCCTTAGGAAGGGCTATGGGAGTTATGAGCCAGGATCCATGGATGAAAACCAATATATGTATATCATAATACCATACTTAATCACTTTTTTTGTCACTGAGCACTTCCATTTCCTGTTTAGCTTTGCTCTACAGTGCATTTGGTGTCATCATTGAGAAAACACGAGGTGCAGAAGATGACCTAAACACAGTAGCAGCCGGAACTATGACAGGCATGTTATATAAATGTACAGGTGAGTACTATGGAGAGCCATCTCTTACTACACTTGAAGTGCGCTTTTTTTAATTCATGGTTTTCGAGGAAACTACACTCTGTTGCAGTATAGCCTAGTTTTCTAATCTTATGGTTATTTTGGCTTGGTTTGTTTTTTTAATTGTGGCAAAATAGCCATCTTAACCATTTTTTAAGTATACACTACTTTAGTATTAATTATATTCACATCATTGTATAACTAATCTCTGGAACTTTTTCATCTTGGAAAACCAATACTCTGTACCTATTCAGGCTCCTCCCATTTGGCCCCTCCCCTTAGCTCCCGATAATGTTATACTTTCTGTCTCTGAATTGGCTATTTTAGTCACCTCATATAAGTAGAATCGTACAATATTTGTCCTTTTATAATTGGCTTATTTTACATAGCATAATATTCTCAAGGTTCATTCATGTTGTTGCATGTGCCAGAATTCCCTTCCTTTTCAAGGTTAAATATTATTCATTCTGTGTATGTATACCATGTTTTGTATGTGCATTCTTCTATCAAGGGATGTTTAGGTTGCCTCTACCTTTTGTCTATTGTGAATAATGCTGCTATGAATATGGATGTACAAATACCTCTTCAAGATCCTTCTTTTTTTTTTTTTTTTTTTTTTTTTTGATATATACCCAGAAGTGGGATATTTGAATCATATGGTTTGTGGTGGCATTAGGAAGATAAGATTCTTTTCTGTATTTTTTTATTAATTTTTTTATATCTTGGATAGACTGGGCAATAGAATATTCAAAATTATTGGTTCTGTTTTAAACAATAATATGACCTGTGGCGTCAGCATATTAAACTATCACAAGACACCCACAAAGTCAAAGCCCAGAAATGACTGCCCCTTAAGTCAATTTAGAGCCTCTTATTTCTATGATCGTCTTACACTACAGAGAGATCAACATGTTGCTGTCCAGGGTCAGATAATTCTCTTCTGTGATAAATTTTTATTAGTTTAGAAGCATACATTCAAGTAATACCTAATTTAGTTTTTTTATTAGGTTGATATACCTTTGGCTCCTTAATTTTTATTTTATCAGAATAATCCACATACATGATTTTTTTAGGTTGAGATTTTTATCTTTTTTTTTTTTTTTTAACATCTAAAAGATTTTAATGATGTGCAACAGTCTGTTATATGCCTCACCCTAATTCCCTGTTCCCAGTGGCAGCTATTTTAACTTTTTTGAATTTTTTTTTTAAAGACAGGGTCTCACTCTGTCATCCAGGCTGGAGTGCAGTGGTACAATCAAGGTTCACTATAGCTTTGACCTCCTGGGCTCAGGTGATTCTCCCATCTCAGCCTCCTGAGTAGTACAGGCACAGGCCTCCACACCCAGCTAATTTGTGTGTGTGTGTGTGTTTTGTTTTTCTGTTGTTGTTGTTGTTGTTTTTGCAGTGATAGGGTCTCACTATATTGCCCAGGCTGGTCTTGAACTCCTGGGCTCAAGCAGTCCTGCCTCAGCCTCCCAAAGTGCTGGGTTTACAGATGTGAGCTACCATGTTCAGGCTGCTTTAATTCATTATTCTTTATTTTCATGTTTTTAAATAACAGTATTATCTTGATTTTTCTTGACTTTTCAATCTTACATATTGTCTGTTGACTTCGTAAGAGGAAAGCTGTGTTAACTCCCATAAGAATTGTACAAAATATTCTTAAAGTAGAAAAGAAGGTCACATCCTTTATATAGGTCACCTCATTTACCATTCTCTGAAGGTAGTAGTCTGGTACTCCCTTGTTTCATAAACTAAGAAACTAAAATTCAGACAAGTTAAATTACCTTCACATGCTTACAGAGCTCTGTCATGGTCTAGTGCGTCAAACTCTATTCTGAGTCCAAAACCCATTGTCTTTGTCACCAAACCAAATTGCCTCCAGGATAATCAGGAAAATTTCTAGAAAAGGGAAAAAGGTAGTAAATAACTGTTGAACCAAACCTTAAGGGTGGACTGAATTTTCAGATGTATCTGTTTGATCATAAGATACATATAAGGAAGGTGTGGGAGAAAAGTCTGGAAAGATAGTTTAGGCTTATGGCATGGAAAGCTAAGGTAAGAACCTTAAAATTAGACTGAAAGGCAGCTTGTCATCAAAGGTTTTTGGACAATACTACAATTGTCTTTGAGGAAGATTGGGCTAGAAATAGTGAGTAGATAAGATAAATTGGAGGTAGAAGCCTAAAGTCAAAATGGTCAAGGAGAAGTATTATTATAGAAGTTGGAGAGATGGTGATGGAAAGGTAAAAAAGAAAGATGACTGGGTCACTAGAATACTGTTTACTGCTTGGTGGTTTCTTCTTTCTCTGTTTTGTTATTTTGTGGAAGCAATATATGGCAATAAAATTCACAATATATGTGACTTTGAATAGCGTAACAGCTAGCTGTCCTGGGCTCCCTCCCTACTGCCCCATTTATCCCTTACTTGTCTCTTCCAGGTAAGACTAAACTCACTAAAATGTTTCCGTTGTTTTTTTAGAGTTGGGGTCTTGCTCTGTCACCCAGGCTAGCAGTGGTGCCATCATGGCTCACTACAGCCTTGAATTCCTGGGCTCAAGGATCCTCCCACCTCAACCTCCCCAGTGGTTCAGACTATAGGCACATGCCACCACACCTAGCTAAGTTTTTTCATTGTTCCTTTTTTTGTTGTTTAGCAATGGGGTCTTGCTAAAGTTGCCCAGGCTGGCCTGAAGCAGTCCTCCCATCTCAGCCTCCTGAGTTGCTGGATTACAGGTGTGAGCCACTGTGCCCAGCTTTCGGAATTGTTTTTGACTCCCAATGGCACTGTGTCCTTTTAGGACAGTTTTTTGCCACTGATTCTCAGTTGTTTGGGTGATTGCTTTTCTGTGGGTGGGAGGAATTGTCCTAGATTTCTTTGAGAATCTTACAAAAGTTTTAGAGTTTATAAACCCTGCATTAACAACTCAGTATATGTAGACTTTCTTTAGGAGAATTGTGTAACTTAACTCTTTAGAAGTTTTATAAGCACTTCAATGCTTATGATTAAACGAAAGTGCTGATGTTTAGAAGGTAACAATCAAAATCAAATTAAGCTGGATTCTTTAAAGTGGTTCTGCCTTCTTGGTGATTTGCTCCCTTGCCACTTTGATGACTCCAGATTTTACTACTCTTCCCGTTGTCTTTTAACTCCCACTTCACAGCCTTCTTCTTGCTGTTACCATTTCCTAGAACAGTACTTGCAGATACCTCACATGCTGCATCATTGTCTTTGTTCAGATACTACCTTTTATTTGAGGCTTTTTCTTAAACACTGTAGTACATACAGTTTTGCACATACATTTTAGTTGTAGGATAAATTGCTAAAAGTTAAATTACTTGAGTAAATAATCTGCGTGCTTAAAATGTGAGTGACTAATGCCAAGTGACCCTTCCAGTACTTGCTAACCTTTGCCAGTATTGTTCATCTATCATCAGTGTTTTTTAAGCTAGTAGGTGAACAGTTTTAATGTTTTATTTTGCTTTGTCCTGGTTGTTTATGAGACTGAACACCTTTTATTGTTTAGTGGTTAATGGTATACCCTTTCTCTCTTTTTTATCATATTGTTGATTTAATTGATTTGTTGGAACAGTTTATATATGATGGCAGTTAGTGCTTTGTCTATTACATATTTTACATGAATTTTTACTTCCTGGAAAAATGTTGATGCCAGTAATAGAAATGTAGAAGGCATCAAGAGGTTCTTTTTGGTATGTGAAGCTTAATTCTCAAGGCCTGGTATTCAGTTTAGACATTGATACATAGAACCTCTTAACAATAACCTTAATGAACAATTACCTAATTTGAAGAACTGGATTTGTATATATATATTTTTTGTACCTTAAATGACTTTGCTTTTAAGCTGACTTTCTTATGGTAGGAAGACGTAAGATTAATAGTTCAAGGTGTTTTGGAGAGGAAGGGATTGCCTATATGTTTTGATTTCTGATGACTTATTTCTGAAAATATGTGATAAGGCTACCCTAAAATTCCTAAGCTTATTGATGACAGCAAAACTACAGCTGTTTCTGTTCGAGTAGAATACTGGTTATTAAATAGATTCTCGTTTGTCACAGGGAATCTAATGGCATTTCACATTTTTGGAGAAAATTTATGTAATTCATTAAAGAAGTATTAGACCTGAATTCAAATCACATGAATCATCAGAGTTCTACCTTTAAATTAGCCTTTTTGGGCCGGGCACAGTGGATCACTTGAGGTTAGAAGTTTAAGACCAGCCTGGCCAACATGGGGAAACCCCATCTCTACTAAAAATACAAAAATTAGATGAGTGTGGTGGCAGGAGCCTGTAAGCCCAGCTACTTGGGAGGCTGAGGCAAGAGAATCGTTTGAACCCAGGAGGTGGAGGTTGCAGTGAGCTGAGATCGCACCACGGCACTCCAGCCTAAGTGACAGAGTGAGACACTGTCTCAAAGAAATAAAATAGGCTGGATGCAGTGACTAACGCCTGTAATCCCAGCACTTATGGGAGGCTGAGGCAGACGGATCACTTGAGGTTCAGGAGTTCAAAACCACCCTAGCCAGTATGGTGAAACCCCATTTCAACTCAAAATACAAAAATTAGCCAGATGTGGTGGCACATGCCTGTAATCCCAGCTACTTCAGAGGCTGAGGCAGGAGAATCACTTGAACCTGGAGGCAGAGGTTGCGGTGAGCAGAGGTTGTACCTCTGCACTCCAGCTTGGACAATAGAGCGACTCTTTCTCTCAAAATAAAATAGGATAAGAATTAATTAGCCTTTTTGATCTGATCGCTGCCAATTTTTTTCTCAGGATCTTTCTATTAAAGTAGCTCTGTACCTACTATGTTGAGGCTCCTTTTTCATTTTTTTTCTTTTTTTTGAGACAGAGTCTCAGACTAGAGTACAGTGGTGTGATCATGGTTTACTGTCACCTCTGCCTCCTGGGTTCAAGTGATGTTCCCGCCTCAATCTGCCAAGATGCTAGGACTACAGGCACATGCCACCATGCCTGGCTAATTTTTTTGTGTTTTTCATAGAGACGGGGTTTCGCCATGGTGTCCAGGCTGGTCTTGAACTCCTGAGCTCAAGCAATCCGCCACACTGGCCTCCCAAATGTTGGGATTACACCACACCCAGCCCCCTGTTTTTTTAAATTTATATATTTAAGAGTACATTGGGGGTTGGAAATAGTTTAGGTCAGCAGGGATTAGCCATTCCCTAAATGTAAACTTCTTCACTGGTGCTGCACTTAGAGTTCCTAAGATCCTTTCCAAATTGATGAATCTGGAAGTTGAAGTTATATTTGTATTCACACCACAAAAAATTTCTGTCTGTGCCCTGTCTTCTTGGGTTTATTTTAAACCAGAAATTAAGACATTGATTTTCCTTTGTTAGAGTGATTTCAGTATTTTGAGTTATTAAGACAGAAAATGTGAGCCCATGTTGGAATTCTGGGTCAGCAGGTTATTTTTATTTATTTTTTTTTTTTGAGACGGAGTTTCACTCTTGTTACCCAGGCTGGAGTGCAATGGCGCGATCTCGGCTCACCGCAACCTCCGCCTCCTGGGCTCAGGCAATTCTCCTGCCTCAACCTCCTGAGTAGCTTGGATTACAGGCACGCGCCACCATGCCCAGCTAATGTTTTGTATTTTTAGTAGAGACGGGGTTTCACCATGTTGACCAGGATGGTCTTGATCTCTTGACCTCGTGATCCACCCGCCTCGGCCTCCCAAAGTGCTGGGATTACAGGCTTGAGACACCGCGCCCAGCTGTCAGCAGGTTATTTACCTCTGTTCCGCAATTGCTATGGAAGTTAAAGTCTACTTGTTATGTGACATAGAATTAATGAGTATTCTTTTTTGCTTTTACTCTTCTGAGCCCAAGAGCTTTCTTTTCATAATTTATGTTGGAGGTGTTCTGGACTATGTTATTACTGCAGAAAGTTAGACTCCCATTTCTTTTGATATCAAATATTCAGCCTCTTCCTCTCTGTCTTACGAATACATATAATATGCCTTAGATGCCAACTCAATACATTCTTACATTCAGGGCTGTCCTTAAGGAAATACCATAGTGGCTTCCCTTGTGTAAGAAAACTGAGTGGAGGGGGTCAGCTGGAGCTTCCATGCCTATGTTGGGCTAGAAGCACCTCCCATTCATTTCCAGCCCTTTGCCACTCTGCATAATTAGTGTCCTTCGTTTATTCAGAAGAAGCTAGATCCCAGATTAAGTGAGCACATAGGCATGCATGTCAGAGAAAGTGTCGTGGGCTCTTATGGATAAAATTTGAAATGCAACCTATTTTCAATAGAAAAAAGCCTCTTACTCTCACATATCCCAGAAAAATTTAGATCTTAAAATGCTTTTGAGACTTAAGATGCTCACGTCTGTGGAGTAAAAATGCTACCTGATATTTGTGGTGTATGAATTACCGAGAAACAAAATTACTCAGCTAATCAGGTGTCTCATGCATAATAAACCAACCTAACAAAGGAAAGCTGCCTTTCAGAGGCAAGAATATAGAACATATGTAGTTTATTAAGCTATTTAAAGCAGAAATGTTATGAAAAATTTGGAAATATTTGTCACTAGCTGTATGACCTATTGAAAAAGGTCCTCAATACTGTGCTCATCTATCAAATGGGGGTATGATGATTCTCACTTTACAGGGTTGTGATACATTTTAAATGAAACAAGTTTCATTAAGTGCTTATTGCTGAAGATATAATTCAGTGAATGTTGCTTTTCTTAGAGCAGAATTTGGTATTTGATCTTCGCCTAAGCCATTTTGATTCAGTTCTTAAAGCAAGTTGAATGGTACCCATGTTCACAACAGCATATTATTCATAACAGCCATACAGGCTGGGTGTGGTGGCTCATGTCTGTAATCCCAGCACTCGGGGGGTGGGGGCGCCGGTGTGGGCGGGTTGTTTGAGTCCAGGAGTGCAAGAGCAGTTTGGTGAAACTGTCTATACAAAAAAATTAGCCGGGCTTGGTGGTAGGCACCTGTAGTCCCAACTACTGGGAAGGCTGAGATGAGAGAATCACCTGAGCCCAGGAGATCAATGCTGCAGTGAGCCTTGATATTGCTACTGCACTCTTTCCCAGTGACAATGAGGCCCTGTATTTAAAAAAAAAAAAAAAAAAAAAAAAAAACCTCTAAGAGGCCAAGGCAGGCAGATGGGCAGATTGCTAGAGCCCAGGAGTTGGAGACTAGCCTGGGCAGCGTGTCTACTAAAAATAAAAAAATTGGCTAAGCATGATTGTACACGCTACTCCAGAGGCTAAGGTGGGAGGATCACTTGAGCTTGGGGAGGTCAAGGCTGCGGTGAGCTGTGATCACGCCACTGCACTCCAGCCTGGTTGACAGGAATGAGACTCTCAAAAAAAGAAAAGAAAAATGTGGTATATGCATAAAATAGAATATTATTTTGCCTTAGAAAAGAAGGAAATTCTGACAGATGGTAAGGCATGGATGAACACTGAGGGCATTATGCTAAATAGGCCATCTACAAAAAAATACTGTGTGATTCTACTAATGTGAGGTACTTAGAATAGTCATATTTATACAGATAAAAAGTTGGAAGATGGCTGGGATGGGGTGTAGTTATCATTAAATTGGCAAAGAGTTTCAGTTTTGCAAGATCAGGAGTCCTCTGAAGATAAATGTTGGTACACGGAGCACGGTGGCTCACACCTGTAATTTCAACATTTTGGGAGGCTGAGGTGGAGGATTGCTTGAGTCCAGGAGTTCAAGACCAGCCTAGGTAACATAGGGAGACCTCATCTCTACAAAAAATTTAAAAATCAGCTTGGCATGGTGGCACATACTTGTAGTCCTAGCTACTTGGGAGGCTGTTGTGGGAGCATCACTTGAGTTCAGAAGGTTGAGGCTGCAGTGAGCCTTCATCACACCACTGCACTCCAGCCTGGGTGACAGAACGAAACCCTGTCTCAAGAGAAAAAATAAAAGTAGATGTTGGTGATAGTAGCACAGCAGTCTGAATGTACTTAATGCCACTGAAATGCACACTTAAAAATGGTCAAGGTGGTAAATTTTACGTTAAATGTATTGTACCAGAATTCTTAAAAAAATAAATTTTTTAAAAAATTTTAAGACAGCTAAACAGTCCCCAACAATGGTATTTAGTAGTCATGTTAGTATGTAGATAAGGCTGTTCCTCTAGAGCAGGAGCCACCAACTCCTGCTGGCCAGCCGCCTGTTTATTTGCTGTCTAAAGGCTAAGAATGTGTTTTAACGTTTTTTTGTGTTGTTTTTTGAGACAGAGTCTCTCTCTGTCATCCAGAATGGAGTGCAGTGGCGCAATCTCAGCTCACTGCAACCTCTGCTTCCCGGATTCATACGATTCTCCTGCCTCAGCCTACTGAGTAGCTGGGATCACGCCCAGCTAATTTTTGTACTTTTAGTAGAGACGGGATTTCACCATGTTGGTCAGGTTGGTCTCGAATTCCTGACCTCATGATCCACTCGCCTCGGCCTCCCAAAGTGCTGGGATTACAGGCATGAGCCACCACACCCAGCCATGTTTTATATTTTTTAGTTACATTTTAAATGGTTATGTAAGTAGCTACACAGTAAGAGCCTTTGACCCTCAAAGCCTAAAAATATTTACTATCTGGCCCTTTTAAGAAAAATATATGCTAATCTGTGCTCTAAAGTTATTGTCATTTGAATGCATTAGTTCTGCCACTAACCAGCCCTATATCCCACAAACAAGGCACTTAAAGATTCTGGGCCTCATTTCCTCATGTATAGAAGAGGTGGTCCTTGCCTATCACTCCGGAAGAACTATATAAGGATCCAAAATATAGGAGGTGAAACTGAAACACAAGTCATATTTGCTTTCCTTTATAGAGATTGACCGTTGGCCTTATTTGGTTACTCTGTTCAAAGCACGACCTTTGTTTATCAACTTCCTGTGCTTAGTTGGGTAGAGTTGTTTGAGTACAGAAACCCTTAAGTAGAGGCCCTTAAACTTGTAAACAAATCAACCAGTGGGAAACCTTGGGATTAATGGAAGCAAAATTAGAACATGGCTGTTATGTGGTAAAAGGCCACCCTTGAATAAAGATTAAAGTACAAACTGATGTTTAGTGTCTTGTTGCTGGAGATGATTTTTTTCTCTCTAGCTTTTAAGAAGTAACTTCATTGATTTGAACTAAATTTTTGTTTCATTTGACAAGAAAATAGAAAGTAGTAGGGGGTAGTAAATTATTTAATATATTACTGGTATCCCAAATATCTTTTCTTTTTTTTTGAGACAAAAAAAAGCCTGTATTGCCCAGGCTAGAGTGCACTGGTGCCATCTGTGCTCACCACAACCTCCACCTCACAGATTCAAGCAATTATCCTGCTTCAGCCGCCCACATAGCTGGGATTACAGGTGCGTACCACCACGCCTGGCTAATTTTTGTATATTTAATACAGGCAGGGTTTTACCATGTTGGCCAGGCTGGTCTTGAACTCCTGGCCTCAAGTGATCCACCTGCCTTGAACTCCCAAAGTACTGGGATTGCAGGCGTGAGCCACCATGCCAGGCCTTTTCATTTTATTTTTATTTTTCAAGACTGGGCTTGGCTGTATTGCCCAGGCTGAAGTGCAGTGGCAGGATCTTGGCTCACTGCAACCTCCGCCTCCTGGGCTCAAGTAATCCTCTCACCTCAGCCTCCTAAATATCTGGGACTACAGATGTGTACCACCATGTCTAGCTAATTCTTTTTATTTTTTGTAGAGATGGGGTTTCACCATGTTGCCCAGGCTGGTCTTGAACTCCTGCGCTTACGCAGTCTGCCCACCTTGGTCTCCCACAGTGCTGGGATTACAAGTGTGAGACACGAGCCCCCAAATATCTTAAAGCCTTGTAGAGATCCCATTGTCACTATGTTACGCCTAGTGCCTATGCCAAAGAGGATTCCCAGGGAAGCTTGTTATTTGATAGCTGAGAACTAATGTGAGAATCCTTCTACAAGGGCCAAATAGATACCATGTTCTTAGAACACACAAAGTAAAGAACTAGCTAGAAGAAGTGGTTTTGCAGCTCTTTCCAAAGCCATGACCTGACTTCACAGTCCTGTGGATACGTTACTGACTATGGGGTAGTTAGTCTGAAGTTGAATGTGTGGTCATAGGAAATAGTGTCTGCAAAATTGCTGTGTTTTCATTTAGCTGCCCCCCATCATTTTTCAATTGACAAACAGTGGTGAGGGCATCTTGGCTGTTGCTTGGTTTTATATTCAGAATGGGGTTTTGAGTACTGCATTTTGGCTACCTGCTTGGAAAAATCCTTATTTCACTCAGAATTAGGTCTAATAACTGAGCCATAGCAATGCTGTTGTAGATGCCTTTAGCATTTATTCTCCTGTGCCTCATAGTTTATTTTTTCCACATTAGGAATTTGGTCTAATTATAGTTCATTTTCAGCTCTGCAGCTTTTTATTGACTTACTAGGCAGAGACATGAGGTTGATCCTTAATAAACTGAGCAGATTATTTTAACTTGAGTGTGCATTGCTTTCTAATCATTATAATTTTTCAACCACATTGAATACAGTTGGAAGTTTAAACTGCTATGCCTACGGTCTGAATGTGGCAAGTTCACAAAGAGATGATGTGAACTTGAAGGAGATATCTCGTATTATACTTTTAGAGGGGTTTTTCTGGGTTTTAAAAAAATGTTTTTGGTCTCCCTACACGTTTGACAGCTGTTTATAGATAATGTCTGTAATTTCTGTTTGAGAGAGATAATTATGACATTTAGCATTGGAGTGTAAGCAGGTCAGGTATCAGAAGTCTTCAGACTGGAGAGATTCCTGGAGGGGGAGTGGCCCTTTAATCCATCAGCTGAAGCCATCTGGTAGGACACTCGTTGCGGAAGTGGTTAGTTCTGAAGTATTCTAACTCAGCAACATCACTGAATGTCACAGAATTGACAGGCACGGACCTAATGGGCCTCTAGACACCCCCACATGTCCGTTCTACCTTTGTCTCCCTAACATATGACTTGGAACAAATACATTGTAGGTACAGAGATGGCTACCTGCAGTTTATGATCCCTACTCATGGAGCTGCATGAGGACATCACATTTTTTTAAAAAGCCTCCTTGGGCACCCCCATTCCTGAGGAGTTTCTTCGCTTCGTTTCCCTCTGCCACATAACGTTTATAAGACTTGACATTTTAAAACCATAAGCAGTTAGGCCATTTTCTATTTTTAGATATCTGTTTGTAGCTTCTTCTTATTTAGACTTGGGGACGGTTTTTAAGTAACTGATTGAAACACTTTTGTTTCTCCATTGCAAGTGAAATCCCTGTTGCTAATCTTTGCCACATATAAAATTGTTCACTTATTTTCAAGCAGGTAGTTCAATGTCTAATTCTTGAATTCTTTTCAACTAGTGTGATGCTAGGTGTCCCTCACTACTTATTGTGGAAGATGGATGCATCAGTGCAGGAATGGGGCGGCGGGGGGGACGGGGCACTAGCACCTAACTCAAAGTGTGATTATAGCCTTTTTTGTTTTGTTTTGTTTTTTGAGACAGGGTCTCACTCGGTCACCCAGGCTGGAGTGCAGTGGCATGATCTCAGTTCACTGCAGCCTCGACTTCTGGGCTCAAGCAGTCCTCCTTACCTCAGCCTCCCAAGTAGCTGAAACCATAGGTGCATGCTACCCCACCGAGCTAATTTTTCTGTTTTTTGCAGAGACAGGGTTTTGCCTAGGTTGTTCTCAAACTCCTGAGCTCAAGCCTGCCTCAGCCTCCCTAAGTGCTGGGATTACAGGTATGAGCCACCACACCTGGCCATCACTACTTCTTGAATCTTCAAGGTTAATATTTGGAGGACCCATCCAGAGTCCAAAGGTTGTTAATACTGTTTCCAAATAGGGTGTCACCTTGTTTACATTATAACCTTAAATCCATTGACAGTGCTAGTGGAGTTCTAAATCATATTACCAGCAGGAAATGATTTTTTCTAGTTGGAACTCCAGTAATAAACTGCCATAGGAACAAGTTTGTGAATCTGGAAACGTCAGACCATATGTATTATGCAAGTGGTTTGGGGAATTATCGCCTGGACTGAAGTCTTGGTTTCCTGTATTAATTTAAAAACTTGGATCTCCTTTTTGAGATGGAATATTAATTTATTTAAAAAATGGTCTCTCCCAGCCTGACCAACATGGTAAAACGCTAGTTAATACAAAAGTTAGCCGGGCATGGTGGCACACGCCTGTAATCCCAGTTACTCCGGAGGCTGATGCAGGAGAATCGCTTGAACCCGGGAGGTGGAGGTTGCAGTGAGCCAAGATGGCACCACTGCACTCCAGCCTGGATGACAGAGTGAGACTTGGTCTCAAAAAATAAAAAAGGTCTCTCTTTACTTCACAGTACTTTTTTTTTTTTTTTTTTTTTAGACGGACTTTCACATGTCTCCCTTGTCAGCCCATTTCACAGTACTTTTTATTTAACCCTTCCATGCTAGGGTACTATGCAGTATACAGCTGTTTGATTTTCCTTTTGTCTTCCTTTCCCAGGTGGTCTTCGGGGGATAGCACGAGGTGGTCTGACAGGACTAACACTTACCAGCCTTTATGCACTATATAATAACTGGGAGCACATGAAAGGCTCCTTGCTCCAACAGTCACTCTGAAGATTTTGCCAACTCATGAATGGAGGACGCTTCAGTAGACATCTAGACCATTTTATAAGTCAGACTGGAGTTAGTTATTCTCTCTTCTACCCTATAACTAGTTTGAAAAATTAGAGATTTTGATTTGCTGTGATGAAAATCCTGGATGGTTGACTAAGACTGGCACTTGTTCCAGCTATTAGTGAGTTGAAGCCAAAGCCCTTTGGTGACTCACTGAGCAACGTGGTTCTCTTCTCCTTTGGAGAAGATCTTGCACGTATCTATTCTTCTCCCCAATGAACTAGAAAACCACTTACTCCCAGAATTCTGTTCGTGCTTGTCAGTACTGTATCACCAAGTCTGTTCATTTAATGATCCAAAACTGTAATGCTGCACTGTATTCCAAATAAAGGGTAAAAACAGAACCAAAGTTACAACTTCAACACACAAATATAGTGGTTGTCTCCATTTAAAAGTGTCTACCTGGGTATAAAATGAAAAGTCCTCTTGGCATTTTCTGCCCATATTAAGGCAAAACAACATTTTCATGTTTGTGTTGAAATGAGCTACTGTTGGCCAGGTGTGGTAGCTGGCCAATCCCAGCACTTTGGGAGGCCAAGGTGGGCAGATCACCATAGGTCAGGATTTTGAGATCAGCCTGGCCAACATGGTGAAACCCTGGACATGGAAGTGTGTCTGTAACCCCAGCTCCTTGGGCGATAGCTGAATGTAGTCAAGTCTGGAGAATCACTTGAACCCAGGAGGTGGAGGCTGCAGTGAGCTGAGATCATGCCACTGCACTCCAGCCCAGGTGACAGAGCTTAACTCCATCTCAAAAAAGAAAAGAAAATGAGCTACTGGTGGCATTCACCAGTAGAGCTGACACTAAACTGTCTCAAGGTATTTCAGGTCAAACATTAGACTGGCATGCTAGAACAATCTTAACAGTCTTGCATAATTCCATACATATTAACTCCTTACTAGGAATAATTAAGAGCTAGATGTTTTTCAAGGAAGCTTTAGGAAAGCTAACGGTCATGAGGCCAAATTGTTTTAATTTCTGAGTTTTCTCATTAGTATGAAGTTAATCATGTATTACTGCACTACAGGTTATACACGTAAATATTACTGTATTAAACACCTGGTGGCTATATGATTGGAGAAAGTAAACTAGGGCCTTTTTGGATGCATCTAGTATGAGGAATACAGTAGAAAGGCAGAGTTCTAGCTGAAGTCCCATAGGTTTTTTTTTTTTTTTAATGTGAATAGTTTTCATAAAAGACTGAAAATAGAAGTTAATATTCCTGTTTGCTAATTTAAGATTTCATAAAATACACTGATGTTATTTTTATGTTCAAGCTCTTTCTCAGATGTATTCCTAACCAAGTTACTGCATTTACATAACACCACATTTTGTGAAGATAGTTTTACAAATAACATGCAACAACTATGGCTGTTATGCTTTTAATGGAGGCAGATACAAAATTCATCAATGCAAAAGAATGTTTTACATACTCATTAACATAGTGATTAATGTAAATTATATTTTGACAATGTAAAATACAGTGTATTTGGCCTCACAAAGAAACTACAGAGTTAGCTGAAACTTAAGATAACTGAAAGGCTCCTTATGTTGTTTTTGCCCACCACTTTATTATAATAGTTCTAAGTGATATCTGGGGAGAGAATTAAAAAATAATACAAAGCTCTTTCCAGCTCTGATTCAAAGAACTCTAGTGAAGCTGTATGGCAATGATATTATGGAACCATGAAGTTTCCCCGAAGTATTTCCAATAACAGGCAGTTAAGAAGCTTAATAGTTTCAAAGTCTGGAAAGCAGCAAAGATACTTTAGAGAATTTAAAAACATTATAAACCTCACTTCTCACCTACAGAGACATTTTAAAGCATGGACATAACTTTAAAGAGATTGAGAAAACATCAGTAGTTTTCATAAAGCTTCAATGAACACCCGAAGGCACAAGTGTTGAAAACAGCCTATTCACTAAAACGTCACCTTTGGAGGTACAGGTGTGCTGTGCTTGCAGGAGAAGGACAACTGTATCCCTAGTTAAAAGCACCAGGTGTCAAGCTCAGCTTCCATTTACACAGGATGCACCAATAATTCCATTTACACAGGATGCACCAATATAGTGAATAGTTCAAGTACCATACTACATTTCCAACATGTCTTTGCCTATTTTGCTTAGTTAGCACTGGGGTTCTTTTAAACCCCGTAGGTCTATAGAATATTTTAAAAGGCCAGAACTACCTCAAAAATAGTCTTGAAATAATACTGGACCCTTCTAAAAGAGCTCACAGGATATTTTAGTAACATTTACAGAAAGAAAAAAATTTGCAGTAGCTGAGTTTCAAGTGAATAGTAATGTAGAACATGTAGGCTAAAATGTTGGGTAATGTCAAAAATTGCCAAGATTATTAATACATATTTTGGTAATCACTATTAGCCAGGTTAATTTTTTGTGCAAAATACACTATATATTAATAGAACAGGAAAATCATTATTTCGGACCACTAACAAGAAAACCCACAGCAAGAGAAGCATCTATAGGGCAATTAAACATTAGGGAAGTTTACTAGCTTTAGAATATATCAGTATACCTCGATTACAGAAATATTTCATTTTTAAAACTAGAGTGAGTGTTTTCATGTACTTTTAGTAGCGACCCAATCTAAGGAGCCTTGGAGGCTTGTGAAAAAGATGTATCCACAAAGATGCTGCATTTCTAGTGTGGGAGTAAATTATAACACTTCTGTAAGAAGGAAGGAACTGAATCACCTCAGCATCAATAAACAGCATTTTTCTTTTAAACAGTAACTCATAAATCTGATGACTCACTTTGCTTTACTAGTTCAAAATTAGGTGAGAGAAGAACTAAGCTAACTGGTCAGACCCAGAAACAATGATTTGGCAAGCTGCAGTCACTCAGCTCATGTTGTGTGATAACTGGCAGAAAGGCGGCTCAATTATTGTCTTCACATCTGTAAAGAGACACCCACGGATAAGTTAATTCACTGGACAATACAAGCAAATTTTCCCTTCCTTAAAGCTCTGACTCATTTCCAAACACAGGCATACCTTGTTACATTTTTTACAAATTGAGGGTTTGTGTCATGAACTGTGCCCATTAAAGATGGTAAATAAATGTATGTCTTGAATGCCCACCAAAAAGCCTTTCCCCGTTTCTCTTCCCTCTCCTCAGGCCTCCCTATTCCCTGAAACAAAACAAGATTGAAATTAGGCTAATTAATAGCCTACAATTGCATCTAAGTGTTCAACTAAATGGAAGAGTATCCATTTCTTACTTTATTTAAATCAAAAGCCAGAACTGACTAAACTTAGTGAGAAGGTCACGTTGAAGGCCAAGACAGGTTGAAAGCTGGGCAGGCTTTTTGCATTAGCCAAGCTGTGGGCACAAAGGCAAAGTTTTTCTGTTTTTTGTTTAGCTTCTCATTCTCTGGCTGAAAAGTTCTTGAAACTAGAAGTGCTACTCCAGTGAACACAAGAATGATTTAAAAAGCAAACAGCCTTATTTCTGATATGGAGAAAGTTTTAGTGGTCTCGATAGAAGACCAAACTAATCACAACATTCCCTTAGGCCAAAGCCTAACCCAGAGTAAGGCCCTAATTCTCTTCAATTTTATGAAGGCTGAGAGAGGTAAGGAACCAAAAGTTATGTTTGAAGCTAGCTGTGGTTGATTCTGTTTAAGGAAAGAAGCCATCTCCACAGCAAAAATGCAAAGTGAAGTGGCAAGTTATCTAGAAGACCTAGCTAAGATAATAGATGAAGGTAGCTACACTCAACATTTTCAGTGCAGACAAAACAACTTTGGAAGAAGTAGTCATCTAGAACTCATAGCTAGAGAGATAAGTCAATGCCTGGCTTCAAAGGACAGGCTGACTCTCTCGTTAGGGACTAACGCAGCCAGTGACTTATTTTTGGAAACAAGGTATCGCTCTGTCAGCCAGGCAGGAGTGCAGCA